ACGCTCTGACCAAGAGTGAGGGACCCAGCATCCTGAAACGGAACACTCTGAAGTGATGAACTAAAAATAGGCCTTTCTTTTAAGTCATTTTCTTGGCTCTTCTCTCACAGGGACAGAAAACTGACTAATGCAGGAAGATGGCCATGGGCCTTCAGGGTGGGCCCAAGCTGGGATGGTGGTACCTCAGCGAAGATGTGAAGGAGGCTGTGGAGTTAGCCATGTAGCTTCTGGGAGGAGAACATTTTAGAGAAAGGGAACGGCGAATCCAAAGCTCCTTGGGTCTTGCTTGGGAACTAAAGAAGGGTGTAAGTGGAGTTGGTGTTGAGTGTGCATGAGGGTGTAGTGGAGGTCGCTGGGAGGAAGACCACAGGGCCGTGTCAGCCTGTACTCTGAGGGGTTTGGAGCTGATGCAGAGTTTTGCATAAAGATCTGACAGTGTCGCATGGTGTTTTTGGTCAGTATGTGTGCAATATGTGCATGTGTGCGCGCGTGTGTATGTGTGCGCTCACACGCATATGTGTGTGTGTGTGTGTACATATGAGCATGTGTGTATGGAGGAAAGATGCTGGCATGGATGTCTTCTACTGTTATTTTCTACCGTATTTTTGAGACAGGGTCTCTCACCAGTTTGACTAGAGAGGTTGATAAGCAAAGCCCTGGGGACCCAGCTGTCTCCAGCCTCCCCGAGCAAGGGTTACAGATCCCTATACCCACTCCACTATGCTTTTATGTGAGTGCTGGGCCCCTGAGCTCAGTCCCTCACGCTTGAGCAACAAGAATTCTTACCCACATTGAGCCATCTCTCCAGCCTCCCAGACAGAAATAAGGTTCTGACTCCACTCTCTGAACCCAATGGGTAATGTTAATTCAGAGCATCTAGTGGAGGCCTAGCATCTGAGACCCACAGGAACTAATCATCTCTGAGGTTGGTAAAATCCATTTTACCAAGAAAGCAAAGCAGCCACACCAAAACAGCCTGGCTGGCACGGGTTAAACAATGGAAACTGATTTCCTCATAGTTCTAGAGGCCAGAAGAACCGAGATCAAGGTGTTGGCTGTATTGATGTCCCCCGGACTTTTCTCCTTAGCTTACAGATGGCCACCTTCTCAGTGCACTCGCAGACAGTCTTTCCTCTGTGTGCAGGCCTTCCTGGAGTCTGGGTGACAGAATTTCCTCTTCTAAGAAGGACATTGATCATATGGGGTCAGGGCCCCACTTATGGGAACATTTCATGTAGTTCTATGTCACTTCTAGTAGAAGTTCCAAACCCAGCTGCATCTGGAGCAACCACAGCTGAGGACTTGGACATGTGCATTCGTCCCAGGACAGTTAGAGTGGCCCCCATCCTGCTACCACAGCAGTGACCCATTGGGAAGACTGAGGCCCCCTTCACAAGGGAAGGTTATTTGCTTTAGAGCTGACTTTGATTGAAAAACAAACAAACGTAGATTTGTTCTAGGCAGGACATGGGTCTGAGTCAGACTTCCCAGAGAGAGAACATCACTGTGTGCTGTGTTCATGGAAGCTTCTTAGGAGTGAGCTAAGGCTTTGCAAGAATGCATTTGTATGGCTGGTCATGCCAGCCATGGCCTTAATGTGAGGCAAGATTCCACGTTACTCTGTAAACAAAGCCAAGCAGGAATAATGTGGCTGAAGGACCAATGGTTCCTACTTCATCACGTTTATTTCTCATTTTCTATCTACAACTGAATGGTGCCCACAGAAACCAGGAAATGGAGAGGAAATTCCATGGTGAGGTGCCCTGGTGGTGGCTATTTGGAGCCTGAGAGAAGTCTGACAACCACCTGAGGGGGGTGACTTTGTTTCTTACCACCTTAGGTTTTTCTGTTTTGTTTTGTTTTTTCCATTTAGCTTGCTGGACAATATTATCAGGAATACTGGACAAGCGCACCGCTGCCCTCTCAATTTTACTTTTGGTGTAAATAGCAAATATCTCTTTTGTCACGGAACCTCTGTGTGAAGCTACTTAGAACTCTTTTTAGAGACTGGAAATAACGGAGGTGTGTGTTGTCACACTACCCAGAGAAGATGAGTAATTTATCTGGAGAACGTGGATGATCTTGAGAGCCCTCTCCTTAGGAACATTGTCTTGGTGGATCTGCGAGGGCTCAGAATTTGGTCTGTAGACGGTTAGTTGTCGGGATACTTAATCTCTTCTATAAGAGCAGAATGATTTGCAATCGCTGAATTTATGAGACCTGTGTACAGCGAAGAATGTCCGCATCGTGAGGACTAAGCACTCCTGTCTCCTGGAAAGTCCATCTGGTTTCTGTAACATCCATGGGAAACTATGTTCTAATCAGAAGGTTGCTTGATGAGTCAGACAGCTAAACAAAAGGAGTTACTTATGTGATTCAAGTGTTTAGATGCAGGGATGAAAGACACGTTTCACTCCATGAGCTCGCTTATTGATTGTCAAGGGCTGCCTAGCGTGTTGAGAGAAAGGTCATGTTTAGTTTTTGTGGGAAATCGACAGTTGATTAGTGATGTCTGCTGGAGCACAGAATTGGACAAAGGAGCAGGAGCGTTGTTTGAGCCATCCCTAGTGTAAGACTATCTGACCAATAAGCCTGATGAATTCAGGCCGATATAAATCATGAGATTATGAGAACTGGAGCAGAGGTACCTGGGAAGCACTTGTTGGGTAATCAGTAGCATCTCTTTTAGTATTTCCATGTGAGATAGATCATTTGTCTAATGAATTCATCTTTTTTCCCATTTATTTATGCATGTGTGCATGCATGAGTGTTCGTGTGTGTATGTGTGTGTGTGTGCGTGTGATTATGAATAGATGCTGAAGGACACCTTGCAGGAGTTGGTTCTTTCTTCCCATCATATTGGTTTCAGGTGTTGAATTCAGGCCATCAGGCGTGGTGACAGGTGCCCTTAACTGTTGACCTATCTCTCCAGCCGTGGATCCATCTGTTTTGGTGAATGTGTTCAGTCCAGACAGGGTAAGTGCTATAGGGTTGGCATGCCTGCAAGAACCAATTTAGGCCTTACTCACCAGATCTGAGACCTTTGTGTAAGGAACAGGATTATCTTATCTTAATGTTGCTGACCTTGTTTTGTAAACTAAAGCTTACCGGGAACTTCACTTCGTTAAACAAATAAAAGCGACAGGCAGATCTTTCTAGAAGTTTCTGCCACAGATGTTATTTTTCTGTATGAAAATGTCTTGAAACACACCCTAGTGAACCCTGGAAAGGCATGGGATATTATTATCTGAAACCCATTCTTTGGGTTTGGGTTCAAGTCCTTCATTCCAGATGTGAGAGCATCTGGAATTGGTGAGCAAGCAGTTCTCTTTGGTTCCCACAGGACATTTGAGGCTGTGTTGAGAGAGGCATCCCCAATTCTTCACTCCTTAGGTAGCATTCCTTCCGTGAGGCTAACACTGTGGATCTGATGACCATTCGTCAACTCCCTATAGCCCACCCTCATCTAAACTGTGAGCCCACCAAGGACATGCTGAGGACCCCCTCAGAGAGACATGCCCGACTATCATCTCCCCCATTTCACAAGTGAAACCTGTGATTAGAAAAATAATAAAAGGCCATCTCACCTGTGTGCCTTATTTATTACACATTATACAGGTATCTGGTTGCAAAACCCGAACTCCTCCTCCTGTCTCTTGGTGAGCGTTTGAGGCAGAACACAGTGACCTGCCTCCTGTGATAACATCGGCATTCAAAGAGTGAGTGCTCCCTTCCCAGGTGACTTCCACCCTCCCTCCGTCCCCCTTGGCGACACTCCCAGAAAAAGAGTTCAGTGTGTGGGGGGACACTCTAGTTAGTAGAAAAGCACCTCGCCTTTATGTAAGATGATTGCTTCGAATCCCACCAGGGGGAAAACCACAAGGAAATTAAAGCAGCACCTCTTTAAACGGTGGTAAATAGATAACCCTGACGGGGTGGGAGGTGGGGTGGGGGGTCTGAGATTGGAAGAATGTGACCCCGTTAATCCAGAGGGGACTCCCTCTGGCCCCTTTCACTGCCCCTCTTTCAGCCTAAGGAGGACACCAAGGTTATGTGGGGAAACCGCTGTTCCTTAGCCAGGAAGAGGGGTGGGGTGGGCAAAGGTGGGGGAGATGCGGAGCCAGAATGAGAGGAGAGGAGGAAAATGCGAAGGAGAGGGACTTTTTTAAAAAAGAGTGTAAAGTAATAACCAAATTTAGCAGTCCCAGACTGTGCAGCCAAGTGGATGCTCATAGGTGGGAAGACTGGACAAGCTACAGAAAACTAGGTCCCAGCCACACCTCCGCCATTGACGCTTCGTCTCCTTGAGTGAGTTCCTTCTCTCTGAGCCTCAGTTTTCTCAATGTGCCCGGAGAAGAGTCTGTGAGAGTCCAGGGACAATTCTATCCCCACCCACCTACCCCATCAACCCCAGTCTTTGCCCTGGGGCCGCCTTGAGTCTGTGCTGAGGAGACCAGGGAAAGGAGAACAGGCCCTTTGTGGCAGACTGGGGACGGGCAACTTGAAAGCATTGGGGGTAGAAGAATTGAAGCATTTTTTTGTTGTGGAGGAAAGCGTGGGCTGCAGGCAGGGAGCCAGAAGCCGCTGACATCACCATAATACTTGGATCGGGGCCTCTGAGAAGTGGGCGGGAGCCTCAGGGGAGTGGGCACAGTTACCTGGTAAAGGGACCAGAGGGCCTGCATCTGATCCAGCAGCAGCGACAGGGACACTCACAGGGCTCACTGGATCGGGGACCAGCAGTCAGGGATCAAAGATGTGAGGAAAGTGTGTGGAGACTTTGGGAAGCCCTTTCTCCATTCAGATCCTCGAGTGACGAGTGACGTCTTGGGGGAGAGATGGGAGTCAGGTGTTTGCCTCTAGAGGCAAAATCCCAGTTTTCCATGTCTCTAGGCCTGAAGTCAAACACTGGACGCAGCAGAAGTTGCTTTCAGAACCTGCCAGGCAGAGAGTGGGAAAGGAGGCAGCCCCCTGAGAGAGGGATACAGCCGATTCCTTAGTCTCAGACTTGGCCACCATGAAAATGCCACAGGGCTTTAAACTCTGGCTGTTGATAAGCCTTTTGCAGGGGGTTTAAGCATGACCCTCTTCTCACAGACTTCTTCTTCTTCTTGCAGACAATAAGCTTTCATCTCCCTCTGGGGATTTGAAAGTACTAACGTTTGGGACCATCTCAGTGCAACTAACCAACTCTGACAAATCCTCCTACGCCTCCCATGAGCTCAGAGCAGAAGGGGTCATCAATTTCCTGTTCTTTCCTGTTGAGCCCAGATACAATATCTGAATCCCTCTCAGTTCAGGACCCTACCCAGACCTTACCAACAAATCGGAACCAGCTCTGGAGACTGACTCATCTCCCCCTTAGCTTAGGGTATCTATCACTAGACATTTGCTTTTGGGACAGGAAAGAGGGGGGTGGGGTGGGGGCAGCAAGGCTGGGAGAGGCAGAGGCGGGTGCTTATTTTTAGTGTCGTTTGTTTTTCTTTGTGTTTATAACGTCTTCTCCAGCTTTCCCCCAGAGCTTTCTCCATCTCTGGATCCCCGCCACCCTTTCCCAAGAGTGAGCAGACCGGTCGCGAAGAAGTCTGAGGTGCTGGGATCGCTACTTGATACTGGATACCCGCAGATTGTTCCTTTGCCTTCAGGGAGCTGGTCGTGCTTAGGAGACCCCTGGAGCAGCCTTGTCCTTTACCACAGCCTTGTAAGGTCTCATAACCCCCTTTCTATAGCCTCCTCGGGAATGGGAACTTCCTTACCGCGGAGACAGCTCATGCCATTGCACAATGACCTACACTGATCGGCAAAGCGGTCAGCTCATCTCCAGTGGAGATCTCTCTGCTTGACAAGTTCGTCCACTAGCAGTAGCTCCAGCTCCATGCCCATCTCCTCCCCCCTTCCCACATCAATCTTTCAAGTTGCTTGAGGATGGCTACCCGGAGCTCCCTAAAATTTGTCACCTGTAGGTGAGATATCCCCCTTTTCCCCTCACATCATTGCATGACAAGGCACAGAGTTTCCTTATCCTGAGAGACACTTCCCTTCCCCCACCACCCAGGGTGTTGGCAACCTCCTGTGGGCTACTCTTCTCTATAGTGATATGTGCTTCCTGGACTGAATTGATTATTTGGTCTTGCAATCTAGCAGTTGGCCTTCTATCCAAAAGAGCTGTGCTTGCCTCTAAGATGCCACCTTACGCTAAGTGTGCAGTTGGCTACGGCCTTCAGATTTATTTCACAAAATCTGCCACCCATCCTGTATCCAGTGCACAGGAATTCAAAAACTAATTACTGCTGTTGCTAAACCGGAATGTGTGTGGACTGTCCTTTTGTATGGGATATGTGTTGGCACTGGCCACATTAGTGAAGCCCTCAAGAGAATTATAATTTGAATCTTATTTACTCAATACACACTTACTTTTAGGCCTAATTTTCAGTGGACAATTGGTCAGTATTAGAATTTTATACAATTTTGGCATTTGTCCAATAGTTTACAGATCAGATTACTCGCCTGATGAACATGAAGTTCTGGATGAGCATATTCATTGTGCTATTAATTTAAATTTTAAGAAGACCTAGAGACCCCCAATAAGAACATGGAAAGGATGCATCAGTAATCACTAGGCAAATAAAATAAAATTCAAAACCAAAAGGACACACTGATCATACCCATTAGGATGGCTATTTTCAGAAAATCAAAAATAGCAAGTGTTAGTGTGATATAAATTGGAACATTTGTATAACTCTTGGCACGGAAGACAGTACAGTAGTTCCTAAAAGACTTAAACATACAATTAAGGTATCATTTGCAAGTCCAGCGTCTGGGAATATAACTCAAAGTAGGGATCAAAGAAATATTTAGATATATGCTCATAACAACAGTATTCACCGTAGGCAAAAGGTAGGGGCAATCGTGTGGCCATCAACAGGTGAATGAGTATGCACATGATACAGTAGTGTTCAGTCTTACAGCTGAAGGAAATTCAGATCCACATGACATGAATATTGGATACTGAATGTCCACATTTGCGTCATTGTGGTTAAAATACTTGAGCAGAGCAGCTTGAGGCAGGACACTTCAGGTTGGTTCATGATTTCACAGAGTTTAGCATGTGATAGCCTGCACCCGTGAGCTTGAGCAGAACATGGAGACAGTGGGAGCCTGTGGATGAAGATGGATGCTCACAGCAGACAGGAAGTCAACAGTGAGATACGGGAAGTGACCAGGGATAATATACCTCCCACACTGTGGATTACCTAACAGCACTCAAGTGCATTTAAAAATGGTCAAGAGTTTAGGAGTATTTCCCCACTGCTGACGAACAAGCAAGCAAAAAGATACAACATTTTGATGCCTGGAGTCAAAAATATCTCAACTGGTTTTTTTATTTTTTTTCTACAACTTTCTATCATTGTACACATAGTGTGGAGATTTGAAAAACCACTGTGGGAAACAGCCAGGTAGAGTAACATACACCTAGGAGGCTGAGAGGCAGGAGGATTATAAGTTTAAGGTCAGCCATGGTTACATAGATGCCTGCATTCAAAAATAAATAAATAAATAATAAATAAGTACATAAGTAGGTGATAAATAAATAAATAGAACACAGAATAAAAAGAAAGTAGCACCATTCAGCTTGCGGTGTGGAGAAAACCAACCCAGTTATCCCATGTGGCTCTCGCTGGACTGCCCTGCCCCCAAAACATCCCATCAGGAGCTCTGAGCACCTCTTTCTGTCTGGCTCACACTTAGAATACCAGGAGTCGAAGCAATCACTGCCTGTGACAGCGACTTTTTGGCAGAGTCTGTTCCAATCTAGAACACTGGCAGCAAGTTATGACACCACCAGATAGGAGGCAGCCAGAGACTGCCTCTCACAAGAGGATGTGTTGAACGATCGGATCGTGGATCATCTAAATTGTGCTCTGTGCAGACTAACACACACACATAATAGGATTTAGAAGGGATTTGCCACGCCAGGAATTAATTAGACTTCTGGTTCCCAAGGCGCTGTGGGACGTCTCTTGACTGCGTGCTCATTAAGTTTTAGTGTGAGGGGTGGTTGGATGCCTTCGCTTCTCACTAGAATATGATGTGGGAAGTTTATCTGCCTCGTTCACTGCTGTATCCCCATTGCTACAATATACCTGGATCATATAATATTAAGTGCTCAATAAATACTTTTTGAATAAATAAATGAATAGATGCTCCATTTTGCAGACGGGGAAGCGGAAGCTGTATAAAGTAGTATTTATGAGCATTACTGCTGAGTCAGGCTACGTACATTTGTCCGGTCTTTGTCGTGTTTAACAAATTAACTTCTGGACATACTTTCTTCCTCTCTCATCTTTAAAGCATAGATGAAAAGAATGCTTATCTCCAAGCTAGGGTGATGATCGAGATAATTTACTCAAAAATCAGAATCAGCCCCCAAAAGAGAGTAAGCACTCAGTGGATCACTTCTCATGTTTAGATCTTTGATGTCTTTATGAACATTTTATATGTAGTTAAATGTCTCTTTTAAAAGCTGCTTTCAATGGGTATGTACCATGAAAATTGTAGATTCCCTCCATTCGCAACCACCATTGTTGAAGGAGTTGCAATAGAGTACTACTTACAAACTCAGGTTCGAATCCCAAATTCCTTCTTATAGGCTGCGTAACCATGGACACCTACCATTCCTGTGCCGTGGGTTCCTATTGGTGGAGGTGACAAGAGTAGTTATATTGGACTGTTGGAGAGCTGAAGAGGTGATGTGGGGGCGGGGCTGCCTGAGATGCCCAGCCAGGTGTATTGAATAAACATTTTTTTAACATTTTTTTCTGCTGTTTATTTTTTTCCCTTGCTAGTTTTAAGGCAACTGAAGACTTCAAATAGTTTGTAGGGCAAAAGGAGATCTTTATGATAAATATTATAGTTTTTGCTAGGAATATCTAATATAAATACATTGAGATTGGAAAAACCTGGATGTCATTCATTAGTGAAATGTATTCAAATTAACATTTAAGAATATACTGGCGTCAACATCCATAACTGTTTATGATTTGAAAAGAGGAGCTAAATGTTAACTCCTTAATATAATGTCCCTGTCATTTAACAAGTACCTTGTATTGCAATATGAAGACTGTTTGATGCATGGATCCATGTAGATATTAATAATAAAAATGCTAACCTAAATCTACTTTATACCATGGCTCTCTTTTATAAATAAGCAATATATTTATTTTGGTGACAGGCCTTACAAATATTTAAATGTGAGGCGTCCTTAATTAAAGAGATCAAAGGCTATTGATCTGCAAGATGAACTCAGATCCTTTAAGATGAACTAAAAAACCTGAAGTGTTTCCTGAGTTCATCTTTGGCCTCCATCTTCAAGCTCTTGGACCTCTACTCTCTGCCCACTATTCACATCAAAAACCTTGTATTTCCTTGGTCAGGCTGGAATGTCTCAAAATGTCATGCTCACACACGAGTATTCCCAATTTACTGTCTTTTCTGATGAACTTCCCATTATAAGTCATGTATTGACAACAATGCCTTTCTTGTGAATGTTCTGAGAGGAATCAGTATTAATTAATTAATCAGAGTGCAACATTCACTAGATGTCAGTTTCCCACCCCCTCCCCACAGGGTTAAACACAGTAACAAGAAGGACAGTTACAGAGTTTTGTTCTTTTCCTGTTGAAAAAAAAAAAAAAACTAGCAAAAGCAACTTAATGGAGAAAGGTTTTTTTCTGATTCACAGGTAAAGGTCCATCTCAGCTGGAAAAGGAAAGTCATAGCAGCCTGCAGCAGCTGGTCACATTGTATCTACCCAAGAAACAAAGAGCAACCAATGCTGTCTAGTGCTCAGCTCTCTTCATTTTAGTTCAGGATGTCCTGCCAAGGGAATAGTTCTTCTCAGAGTCAACATGCATCTTCACATACCAAGTAATCAAATCATGATAACCCTTCACAGGTATGTCCAGAAGTTTGTCTCTCAGGCGATTCCAGATCCTGTCAAGGTGACAGTAACCAACACAAACTGTAATAACAGAAAACATTTCTTGTTAGAACCAATTACTGTGCTGAATCCTGATTACATATATCCCTGTTGAGAAGGCACCTATTGTATGACAAAACTTTCCCTGGGAAGATGCAACATGCACGTCTACTTACCCCAGATAGGGAACCAACTACAGACAAAGTACAGATACCACTGAAGTCCACCTTGGTAAGCCAATGAGTTTTTATTGGAGTTATTTACAGGAATATGGGTGAAGGGTTACTTACAGGAGTGTAGGTGAGGGGTTACTTACAGGTGAATAGGTGAAGGATTACTTACAGGAGCAGAACTTACTCCAAGACAACTGTATCACCAAAGCCCACACCAGCAAGAAAGATGGAAACCTGGAGCACACAGCCTACAGGCCACTCAACAGGTCGAAGAGTATCCTTTCCAGGTAGCTAGCCCAGTTTCTGCTTCTTTCAGGCATCTGGTCTAGTCTCAGTCTTTGTAGTTTGTCTTGCCAGAAAGTGACTCTCAGAAATCTTCATTGTTTAACGCTTGGGAGGGAGGAGCCTGGTGAATCTGGTCAGTTTCAGGGACTTCCTGAAGCTACTTTGCGTTGTTTCCCTTCCGACTTAAAGAATTTCCCTGAAGGATGGAATGTTCCAGTCTCAGAGGAAACTTCTGTACAATCTGTGGATCAAATGCGGGTGGTCAGACTTGCCCATCAAGCCCTTGAATGTCCGAGGCATCCAATCAGCTTCCATTGAAAATTTGCCAGAGTTTGATGAGCACAACTGGATGCACATTGGCACTAGGTGACTAACAGAGCCAGGCTGGACTGCTGTCTGCCTGGTGCCATTTCCTTTTCTCCTATGGGAAGTTTAGTGACATATGATGGTGTGGCAATATTTGTTTGCTTATAGGAAGCATTTGAATGTCCAATAAAGAGCAATCTGAAGTTATTTCAGTTGGAGTAGCTATAAATTGAGAATACCAAGCAGATGCCATAATAGGTGGCCCAGTCTTCTCTTAGAGATCAGGCCTCGATTTCAGTTTCCTGAGACTGAACAAGCAGTTTCTGAAAGAGCCACAAAGGACAATTAATTACTGGTGCCCCTGACCACAGGGGCAAGTGAGATAGGACGCACCAAGCCTGGGCCAATGAGCCAGTCCCCATAGTTAGTGCGTACTAGCCAGCCAGCCTCCAGAGCAGCTCAAGGACAAAGCCTGGGATTTGTCCAGGCCTGCCCAAAAGTGAAAAAGCTGTAGCCTTAATAAGTCCCTGTCTAGTCCTAGCCTAGTAGAATGTACTCATATGATTGGCACCTGCTTAAGCCAATCATATCTAAAATGACCTAACTGCTCTAGGACCTCCCTTTGGCTGTGCTTAAAAGAAGCCTGTGGGCTCCTCTAAGGGTCTTCACCATTTTGTCTTTGTGTTGGATGGCAGGCCCCAGCATGCTGGAATTAAAAACACTGTTGTTGATTGCATACATGGATGGTAGTCTTTTGTGGGACTTCTCCAGGAACCTAACAAAAGTAGGGGTGTTAAGTCTTTAATGGTTATGGAGGGAAGTGCTGTTATGTTACAGAAGATTTTATTTAGGAAGAATTGCTCCTGGTAGTCTTGTACCCATATCCAGTACCAGGCACTCACTCCTTCTCAAGTCATCTTTGGTTCTGTTGGGTCCCTGTTCCAGTGCCAGTATGTTGTATGACAAGACCTTTCCTGGGGAGATGCAACACACTTGTCTACTCACCCCAGAGAGGGAGCCCACAACAGATCAAAGTATGGATATCAACAAAGTCCAATTTGGTGAACCAATGGATGAGGGGTTACTTACAGGAACAGAAGTGATCCAGAGACAGCTGTAACATGAATCTTAAAAGGTCTTATTAATAAAAACAAACCCAGAGCCAGGTATTGGGATGAACGCTGAAAGATCAGGGAAACAGAACCAGCCACAGCTAACCTCACCTTGCCAATTCCTCAGCTGATCCTGTTTCCTCAAACTGGAAGCCTCTGAGTCCTCATCCAAATGGATCTCAGCTGAACAGCTGCTAAAAGCCTAAAAGCTTAACCAGGCTCTAGTTTCTGGTTTTCATGCCTTGTATACCTTTCTGCTTCTTGTCATCACTTCCTGGGATTAAAGGCTTGTGTCACTATGCCTGGTTGTTTCCAGTGCGGCTTTGAATGCGGAGATCCGGATGGATCTCTGCCTCCAGAATGCTAGGATTAAAGGTGTGTGTGCCACCATTTTCTGGCCTCTATATCTAGTGGCTGTTTTGTTCTCTGACCCCAGATAAGTTTATTAGGGTGCACAATATATTGGGGGATACAATATCACCACATTTCCTCTTTTTGTCTAAGATTTAAAAAAATCTTATAACTAATACAAGAAAAAACTATATCCAATAAGTATATACAATATACACAGTAAAGAATTACAGACAACTGCATCACAAAGCCCACCCTAGCATGGGGAACAGCTCTTCAAACTTGGAATCTGGCGCACACTACACATTCTGCAGGCAGCTCAACAGGTTGGAGAGGGACCTTTCCAGGTCCCCCAGTTGGTCTAAACCTCTTCCAGGCAGCTGAGATGGTTCTG